TGATGTCATCAGTGATCCAGGGATTGCCAGGGAGGCAGCCAGAGATGATGGGGTCGTGGGACATATGCTGCTCATTGAACCTGAGATATCTGCAAAAGACGGTGGAGGTGGGGAGAGGACAGGAGAGCTCCCTCTCACTGCTCCAAATACATGGAGGGGACAAGCAGCAGCCAAGGTGCCCCAGTAGGGGAAAACTTCCCAAAACTGAGAAAAAGTTAGAACGGGACATACAGAGGCATTCAGAAATAAACTCCGTTGTTTGGTATTCTTGATTGGTACTAGTCACTGGGGAGAGAGGAGAGTAGAACACCTGCTGCTAAAATTCTGAGAACAAGGCTGAAATTGGCGGCCACAGGCTCTCCACTCACCCTTGCAGGCAAAGGGAGGACTTGATGCGCATCCTACCCAGGGCAGCGCAGTAATAACGGATCTGCAACCAAGGACAGAGAATGCCAAAGAACTTGTGCCACCAACTGCCAACTTTCATCGCCACACCCAGGTGGGAAGGAGCCCTGAGGAAGGCTGCCTTGAACACTCTGTGTGTGTGTGTGTGTGTGTGTGTGTGTGTGTGTGTGTGTATGCGTGTACACACGTTTTCAAATGTTTGAAAGTATCTATCTCCTATCAAGAGCCTCTTGCCTGTTCTTTCCCACCTCCTGTCCCCTTAGAGTCCACCCCTCCCCTGTGCAGGAGGAGGTCAGACCTTGTTCCCCTTTGGAGCTTGGACTCCTGTGGGCCTCCAACCTCTGCTTTTCACCCACTGCCACAAATGTGCATGCACACACTCACCTGCTGTTTGTAGTGGTCCATGTTCTTCAGTGGGGAAAAAAAGAGCAAAACTCATTAGCCACACCAGCTGGAAGCTCCCTTGCAGTCATCCACAGTTTTTGTCCATTGCTTGTACTGATTCAGCACCCGACTTGTTTGCTGCTCAGAGAACATGAAACGTCTCTGCTACTTCTAAATGACCATTTGAAAACCTTTGGAGTGCCCTCACTGGCCCAGAGAGTTTCCTGCCTTTCTCTAAAAACCCCATTTTGCAAGTTGGTGCTGAGAATTAGAAATCGGGGGCGGGTGGGGGGGGGGGAAGAAGCCCATACAGCCCACAAACAAGAGTGCAGACCTTGGTGGTCAAGAGGAAGGATTCAGGTGCCAGGAAATGGACAAGGTAAGGGGAGATCACAAACCAAACCCTGAAAGAAGGAGCAAGGACCCCAAAAGAATCCCAACACCATAGCCTTTGGCACAGATGTTGACTGGGCAGGAGGCAGCCATGATTAAGGAGACAATAGCATCCCATTAAGGGGACCCAAGCAAGGAATGGACCACAGGCCAGGGTGTCTTTCTCCCTCCTTTCCCAGAAAGCAAGAAAGGCCAGCTCAGTCGCTCTCCAGCCACCCCAGCAAGAAAGCTCCTCGCACATACCAAGATACCCACATGCACTTACCAACTGCGTAGGCGTGAGGGAGTGGCTCCTTAGCTCTGGCCTCTGACCCCTTGCATCCAAGACTCCCCCCTGTAGGTTAAGCAGAATAAAGGCTGGCTGGCTTGCCATTCTCTTGCCCGGGGAACCCTTCCTGGAGCACCCCCAATCTGCAATTCTGCGACTCACTCGCAGGGGGAGATTGGTCATCCCTGAAGACAGAAGCTGCATCACTTGATCCCTGACCTAAAGGCAGGGCAGTGCAAATGCCCAATATTTCCCCCCTTTCCCTACCAAAGTACAGACCTTGCTACAAGCCCCATTCTACATTCAGGCTAGAGGCAGAAGGCAGCATTCATCTGTCACAGGTAAAGGGAAGCTTTGTGGGCAATGGAAAAACACCTGGTGTGTAAATGAGCCATGGAAGGTTCATTTCCAGGCACAGTTTAGAGACGGATCTTCAGCAGTTGAGGGGTAACACCAACTGTTTTGCTGCAAGTGCTGGGCTCAAGAGACTCAAAGCACAAAGAGAGCCAAGGAGTCCAATGCAAATCCTGACTGCTCTTCCCCTGATGCCCTGGCTCAGAACCAAAGTGGTTGTGCAGGTGCACCCAGCTCTCTCCTCTTCCCGCTCACCGAGGGCCTGTTGACAATCCAATAGGCCTGTTCTTGGAACTCAATGACAATCCGGTCAGCCCTCCTCCGCTGTTTAGCTGCCCTGTGGAAAAGCAAGGGTTTCATCAGAGCCGTTGCCTCCCTGCTCCCCAGTCCCAAAGGGGCAGACCTTGTTCCTGCAAGCTCACCGGAGCTGTTCCCGAGCCTGCATCACCACGAAGTCCCAAATGTGATTAATCCTCTTGCACAGTTGCTTATAATCCTCCTACAGAAGATGGCCCACCCCATCACACGAGAGTCAGTGCTCTCCTCACAGCTCTGGAGAGAAAGGGGAGAAAGGGGGCTCCATGCACCCAGGGGAAGGACAGAGGCTGCCTGGGGATCTCCTTCATTCAGTCCTCCAACCAGTCACACTCCGTAGTCCGCGGGGACTAGCCTAAGCCCCAGGCACCCTTACCTTCTCAAGCGCCCAGAGTTCACCTTGCTTGCGGATATTTTTCTTTGCCAAATAGATGGCTGAAACAGGAAACCGTGACCTCAGGCATGCCGCAGCTGTAGGAGTGCCCAAAGGCTCCCCTGCTACTGGGGATAAAGCCACTGCCGTACTCACCATAATCAAGGTCGGTAGCCAGCCACTGGGTGCTCATCCAGAAATAGGGGGTCTGTAGGCCACAGAGGCAGAGGCCCAGTTCAGCTGCCCTGGGGCAGAAGCAGGGGGCCTCTCTCCGCTTGAGAGAGCCAAGCTCTTCTCAATAGCTCCCCCAAGGCCTTTTGGAGGCTAAGAGGGAAGATCCTTCCAAGCCATCTACCCATCCATCCCTTTTAGTGACATAGCCAATTCCATGCCAGGTCTCAGAGAGGTTCTGGTTCACCCTAACCTACCTGGAACCTGTAGGGAGTCTCATCCCTTCGCAAGACCAGAGTGTGAGGATCCTTCAGAGAATAGATGTAGCCATGCTTCACAAGCAGATTTCCCAGATGCAAGGATTCTAGAGGAGGGAAAGGGGGTCGGGGTGAGAGTGCTGGCTGGATAGCTGGAGGGGTGGGTGACCAAGGCAGGGCAGCCTTTCCAGACAACCAAGACTCCTGCAGAGAAAAGCCACCTTCCTCCCTGGGCCAGGCTAGATAGGATGTTTGCTTGCCCCTAGCTAGGTTTCCCAGCCACAGAGGCAAAATCAAGGAGAGGGGGCAGGAGGGGAAGAGGCCTGCCAGCCGCACCAAGCCCAGCCCAGGTAGCTCACCTTCCTCCCAGATGTTGTATTTCTGGATGAGCCACTCCACAACGTCACTCCCTAAAAAGGAGAGAGAGGCCTGGATGGAGGGCGCTGGTGCAGCAAAGAGGAGTCCGCTGCCAGGCTACACCCGAGGGGCTGAAGACCCTCAGGAGGACGACCCCGCCCAGAGCGCCAGCCGAGGAACAGGCCTTTCTCCCCGCGGTCTCCCCGCAAGAGCCTCCGCCGCCCGGGTGCTTTCGCCCCGGGAACCGCCCAAGAGGGAGCCGCGGGACCCTTCTGCGAGCGCCGACCCCGAGGCGGCGGCTAGAGGCCGGGAGCCCGGGAACAGAGCGGCACTCACCGGTCACGGCGTGCGGGATGATGCTGAGCAGCAGCCGCTGATTCCGCACCGGGACGCCCAGATCCGGGTCTTGCATGCCGATCACGACGCGCTCCATCTACGGGGGAGGCATCCATAGCGGCTCAGCGCCGGGCCCTGGTTCGACAGTGGGCCAGCCGCCCCACCCCACCCCACCCCACCTTGGCGAGGCAGGGCAGCTGGCGGCGGGGGGCGCTCCCCGGGCGGAGAGCGCTGATGGTCATGGAGGCGGCGACGCGGGCGGTTAAGCGCTTCTGCAAGCGGCGGGCACTCCCGGCGCCGCGGCGAGCCTCTGTGCTGCCATCTGCCTGCCGGCCGGCCACCCCCTAGAGTCCCAGGGCCTCTGCGCTCGCTCCAGCAAACCAACGCGCGCGCTCTGCGGCGGCTCGCAGCTCGCCGCCGATGCCACCTGCCTCGCCCAAGCGGGGCCGGCAAAGGGCCGGGAGTCAGCGCAGGAGGGCCGGCCCCGATCGCTCCCCCCTCCCTCCCCTGCCCGGCACACAGACACACACGGAGACGCGCGGCGGGGCTGGCGGACTCTTTATTGGGGCACTCCGAGAAGCGCAGACGAGGCACTGGGCAGCGCTAGGGCGGCCGAGACTCGCGAGCCAGGCGGGAACGAGTGACCCTCTTCAGGGGGCTCGAGCGCTTGGTCTTGAGCGCGAAGCCGCGGAGCGGAGGCCGCGGCGGACAAGGGTCTCCCGCGGCCGGCGAAGGAAGACGGGCGGGACTCCTCGCCAAGCGCCTGCAGCCGGGGGAGCCGCAGAGGCAGGTGCAGTTCCAGCTTTTCACCTCCCAGAACTGGTCGCCGTAGTCGAATCTGCAAGGGGGAGCGGAGGTAGAGGCCGTCCCTGCGCTGCCCACGCACCCACCGCCCGCGTCTCGACCGGCCGCCTGGGAAGCCGCGGCCGGCCAGGGAGAGCAATAAGGGAAGCCCGGCAAAGTAACTTCGCTCTCCCCAACCTTCAAGGCAGGTTCCAAGGGCGATCATTTCGCACGCAAAATTGCACATTCTCCAGACACGGCCTCGCCTTTATGCCACCCCCCTCCTTTTCCCCAGAAGCCTTCAGGGAGAAGGGACCCCCTCCCCCCTTTAACTCTACGGAACTTCTAGACACAGAAGGAGAGGCTTTTTAGTCTATGGTACCGTAGCAACAAATCTGGAATTGCTAGTGCCATTCCAACTTCTCATGTCTTTTAATAAAACAGATTAGTCAGAAAGTTAATCCCTTAGTTAATCAGCTATCAAATTCCTGGGAGCTTTTTTCATGGTCAGGCATAACATGGTCTCTGGATAGACTTTGGGCCAAAGTATCCACTGATCTCAACTGGGATTGCCATAAAGCAACTGGATCTGGACCAGTATCACCTACCCAAGTTCTTCACCAGCTTGGATGGCTCGTGTGCTGAAAAAGGCAATGCCAGGGATCTCATATCCCAGAGCAACTTGTAGGGCTACCAAGTTGGGTTGACATGAATGATTTAGGAAGCGGCCCACATTGCCATAATAGCGCCCATCGAGACAGCACTGTCGCCCATCCTGCAAGACACAAGCTGTGAGCTCAGAGCTACTCTGGCATTGACCCCTTCATAGAAACAATGGGGACATATCAAGCGATGCTCTTGCATCCATCTCCCTTCCCCCCAGTCACATCCCCTGAGTAAGGCAGATTCTACCTGCATGTCCACCACAAAGTAGTAAGTGTCTTCCTCTCGGTGTGCAGCCTCAGTGTTGGAAATCAGCTCCCCAAAGTACCTGGTAGAGAGGGGAGGCAGTGAAAGAGGTAGGTTGCTCTGCCCTTCCTCCGAGCCCCTCCTCAACGGGACAGGGCAAAAGAACCCGATGCAGAACTCACTGGCAAAGGAAGGCTCCCTGGGGAAAATCCTGCACTGTGCGCACACCCCAACCTTTGGCAGTTGTCCTGTAAACTTGGAGCTGGGTTCTGCAAGTAGAGGAAAGGCCTTGGATTACTCCCTTTGCAGAACTAGGTTGTTGTAGGGCAGCCGTGGGAGAACAGATCCCTCCTAGCTCATACAGGTGAACTGGCCCTGCAGGGAAGGAAGAGCAGCCCAGGGTGGTTCGTGGGCATCTTGACCTGCTGGAACATCAGTCAATCTCTGATGATGCTTGCCAGATGGACCTGGAGCTTGCTAGGGACACCTTAGGTTGCTCCCAGTATTCCAGCAGGAGCCAGGACACCTCAACACACTCACCGGAGCCCACGTTGCACCACCCGGTTGGGGCAGGACCTGGGACAAGCACACAGCATGTTGCATTCGTAGATGGATCCCATCTCAGGGGCTGTGCCAGTGGTATCCAGCCTGAGTTGGCCACCCTGCATCGGGAGGAAGGAGAAACTGGCTGGCACTTAGGGTGGTAACATCCACTCAGTAGGGAGTAGTAAGCCTGGGCATCTCACCATGAGGGTCCAGGAGCACTGACTGCGCAGGATGCAGGGACAGTTGGCCATGGTGCAACCTCCATCACACTTGCAGCCCTGAAATGAACCAAAGCAACAGGCCACACGTTAGTTCAGCACACACCCCTCTTTGTGGAGAGAGCTAGCAAGATGTGAATACACCAGGTAGCCACTGGCACCCAGTCACATTCTGATCCCCAAGGGTGGGTGGTAGAGCAGCAGCTGCATGAAGCAAAATGCTTCTCCTGGTGATTTTGCTGTTTCTTACCACAACTGCTACTCTTCACTCAAGAGACTGCAGCCAAGATCTGGCCTTAGCCCACATAATTCTACTCAGCATGAAATATGGAAGTTTTTCTGGCAAATATTAATAGTTGGTACCACTGAAAAAACAAGTTCATTTTTATTTCATTGCCATTGTGTACCCCTCGCTTTCAGGTGTGCAGCAATTATCACTTCTGAATCACTAAATAGCCTTTAATATACTCCTTTCTTCAACCTGTAGAGAAATTACTATGGATAAAGTCTCCCCAAAATGGTGAAAAATCTAATATGGAGAGAAAGGATCCCACCCAATGCATATCCTTTGAACTACAGTTGATTAAGGGATTTCCCTCCCCATACTAAACTATCAATAATGGAGGAGAGTCTCAGAACTAGGTATCTTTTGCATTGCATTTCTTTTGTATTGGGCTGAACAATTTTCTCTCATACAGCCTCACACACCAACATAAGACAAAACCAAGAAAGATGATGTATGAATCTCTCCCCCTTAAAATAATATTAAATATGTATTTTATGAAGTGGATGTATTGACTCAAGAAGATTAATCCTGAAGTAAGAGGCTCCAAATCTCCTCCTCATTTTAAATAACAAGGCAAGTTTTGAGAAAGCAAGTTCACCAAGGATTGAGAGAAAGTCACCCACAAACCTTCCCCAAGTGGGTAGGAACAAGGAATAAGGGCAGCTGGAGTGGAGCCTTCAGGGCTTGTGACATACAGCCCTTCTGGCTGAAACCAAGCAAGCATTTGTCTGCAGCAAAACCAACACACTGCTAAGCTGAAGATGGAAGCCAAGTGATCACATGAGGGGCTCTTTGGGTCCAACCAAGGAGACACTGAAGAAAGAGCCAAGAGAAAAGATGCTCTCTTCAAAAAAGTGATCAAGAGAGGCCAGCAAGAACAGCTTTCAGGAAAAAAAAAATATTCACAAGCTTTTGAGTCTTCAGTGAAGGAGAAGAGAGGCTGATACTGTAGAGGGAGTGCAGTTATTCTTTGCAAAGAAGAAGCTGAACCAGATCTGGGCCTGTCATACTGCATAGGCTGACTGGCAAAGGCCAGTCTTCTGGCAAAGAGCAGGAAGGGGTAGCCCTGCTGCCAAGGTTCACCAGGCTCCCAGACAGGCATCATTTCCTTCCCATCTCTGTGGAGACCGACAATAATACCACAATGAATGACTACCAATCTATGCTCACAGACAGTGAATTACTGGCTTTGGAAACGGGGTTAATAAAAGGTTCCTTTTCTAGGGTTACCTGGGGGAATTCCTTCAAAAAAGCCTTCTCCTTTTTAAAAAAATAAATGAAGAATAAAAACAATATTGTGGTTTGTGCCAAATATATTGTATCAGATATAAAATGTTCATGATGCTTCTTAGAAGCAAACTGGTTCTCTCCAAGGGCATTAAGTTGTAACTGATAGGGGCTTTAATGACCCTGACATGTACTAGGAGACAAACATGGTCCTTTTAGCAAGTTCTTAGCCTGTTTTGTGGTAATTTTCTCCTTCAGAAAGTGGAAGAAGCCACAAAAGAATCCATTCTTGATTTGATTTTAAGCAATAGGAAAAATTTAATCAAATAAATGGCAGTAACAGAAACCCTGGAAGACAGCAATAATATTGGAGATCTTTAGGTGAAAGTAAACTGGGTACACTGAACACAAATATTGGACTTCAGAAAATTATGTTTTAAATCCATAATCTACAGTAAAATCCAGGGCAGGAAGCCTGAAAGATGGCATACATTCCTCCAAAGAAGGATTTCCAAATTACAGTTCAATAATTCCAGCAACAGGGAAAAGAAGATGGTATAAAAATAAATGTATTACATAAGAAACTCAGTAAAAAATCTGAAAATGCCCAAAGACTTATCTTGGCGATGGAAAGGCCACCAAGGAAGCATATACGCAATACTTTGATTCAAAAGATGCTATCACAAAAGCTAAAGTTTGGTTCCTGCCGTCCTGCACGCACACACACACACGCCCCAGATAATGTGATTCCAATGCTGGGGAGGCATGCCTGCTCTTCCCATCCCAAAGGAAGCAAGGAAGGAAAATCTCTTACCTGACTTTGATCCCACTTTTTTGTGGGAAGAAGTGCTGAGCCTGACACAATGTTCCCTGTGATGTAGAGGAAATCCCCGGGACAGGATTCCTGATCTACCATATTGAGGCAGGGAATAGCAACCTGCTCGAAGCCCCGGGAGATGTCCCTGGGAAGAGAAGGCAAGGCAGCAAGCGGGCGGTGCTGAGCACCGTCCACATTCTGAGAAGTGCCCGTCAACTGGGAATATATTTTTTGTGAGATGGGCAGCAATATAGTCATGATGGGTAGAAGAGGGAGGGAGGGAGGAAGCGCGACTGACTCACCTGCTGAGTACCTGCTCTACCTGACTGGGCAACTGGGCAGAGAAGGCCTGCAGAGCCCTGCAGGAGGAGGAGCTGAGCTGGGTGCATTGCTGGGGCAGCTGCCCTGCTTGGTTCCTCAGAGAAACTGCGCCACAGGCCAGGAAAAGGCTGCAAGATTTATTTATTTATTTGTTTGATTTGTCAATTGCTTACAAGATAATAGGTATAAGTATAAACATGAGTAAGAATACAGGAAATAGGTACAAATAAATGGGGACAATAGGACAGGGATGGGAGGCACCATGGTGCGCTTATGCATGCCCCTTACAGACCTCTTAGGAACGGGGTGAGGCCAATAATGGATAGTTTGAGGCTAAAGGAGTGGGGGAGGTTTGAGGATGTGACAACAGAGTCAGGGAGTGCATTCCAGGCATTGATCAGGAGAAGGCCAGGGCCGTGGGCTTTGTGGTCCCCAAGGAGAACTCCAGAGAACTCCATACAGTCAAAAGCATCTTATTCAAAGATCTCTCCCGTTCCACAGGCAACCCCTCCTATCCTTCCCAACAACCAAAATGGGCTTCTCACCAAGAGGGATGAGAGTAGACAACTGCCCCATAGGCCTAGAAGACTGAGCAATTAACCCCAGGCCTGGAAGAGGCCTTCAGCTTCCCTCCAGAACTCTGCCTAGGGTAGTGACCTAAGCACGTGAAGACCCTCCCACCCCACTTATCTCACCTGAGGCATTCATGGCACTTCTCTTGGGCTGCCAGGTGCAGAGGTGAGTTACCCAGGTGGTTTGTCGCATTCAAGTCTGAGCCAGCTTCCAGTAGCATCCTAGCAATGGTGGGTGAGCCGAAATGGGCCGCCCTGTGCAGGCAAAGATTCCCCTCCTGCATGGGGTCAGAAGGGCAGAGACCCTCGACTGAATTGGCTGAAGGGCCTGCTCCGAAGCACTTTTCTCTTCAGGCAGCCCTGAAATCCCAGCGCCTTGGGAAGAGCAGTGGGGGGAGGAGAGGCCCTCTGCCAAACGGTTTCCCTTCTCAAAGGCTGGATAGATGAGACTTTCAGACCCCTCTGCTGAAGGGAAGAACTTCCAGATAAGTAGAACAGAAAGGCTGGGTCAGTCTGGAAGGCTGTGGAAAAGTGGCTCCCCTTTGTAGGACAGGGCCCCACAGTAGGGACCCTCTGCCCCCAAGACTCCCTCCTTTACCTTTGGAGGGTTGTTGGGGCCCAATGGCCCACCGCTACAAGATCCATGAAGCTGAGTCTGGAGGGGCAGTTGGAGGGCCAGGTGTGACTAGGTGGCTATTTGGGGCCCCTGGCTGGGTCTTGCCTCTTTCCAGCCCTTATAGGGTTTGTATGAGGCAGCTGCTGGATGTGCCCCCTTCCCTTCCCCCACAACCCCTATCTTGCACATACTTGGTCACGGAGATCTGGGTCTGCCCCATGGGACAGCAACAGCTCCACCAGTCTCTCGTGCCTGTATTCTGTGGCCCAGAAAAGTGGGGTTCTGCCAGTGGCATCCTGGAGGAGAAACAGATGACCCAAATCGAGAGGCAGTCTTGCCCTCACAGCCATCTGGCCAGTCGGACTGTTGGGTGGATGCAGGAAGGGAGACACCCCCCCCCCCGGGTTCTTCCACATTACACTACCTGACTGTTGATGGCCCTTGTTCCCTGAGAGAGGAGCTGCTGGGCCACGTCATAGCAACCCTTCCTTGCAGCTGTAGACAAAAGGGCCGCCGTCTCATCTTCCTCCTGCTGCAGGAGATGCTCAAAACAATTAGAAACCTCCCAGTGTATCTTGCCCTGATATGTGCACACACACCGTTCTCCCCAATCGGACTTGGTTGAACTGAATTTCTGGGTAAGACCTCAGTTTAAGCAGAGGCAAAGCAGAGTGAGACAGTGTGAATGAAGCCTCTCACCGGCGCTTCGGAGGCCAAGAGGAAGGGAGGCTGGCGCCATTCCGGAGAGCTTTCTGCCATTCCCGTGCTCCCCTTTACCTGTCTTTCAGGAGAATCTCTGTTAAGGCCTGACTCTTTGCTTTCTGCAGGAAGGAATTTACAACAGATATATTGCTGTGGGAGTCTGGGCCCTGCCCCACCCCTTAGAAAGCAGCCGGTTATATGCTGCCTGATGGATTATGGACCAGCTGACTTGCTCTGGATCCCCACCTCTCAGTTCTGGCCTCCCCCCCACCCCATTCCAGGGTCAGGCCTGCCTCACCATTCAGGCCCATGCTGCTTCCTAGCAACACTAAAACTGTAAAGAATTCAGCAGTTGACCCAGGTGATGGACATTCCACAGAATGGTCTTGGGTTCTGCCCAGGCTGGGCAGTACAAGAGGATGATCTTACCAGAATATCTTGGTCCTGAAAAGTACCCATGCTGCCGCTGCTGCTACCACTGCCGCCGCCACCTCCTCCTCACCCGTTCCGACATTTGGCCCTTTGTGCATCTATCACCCTGAGGAAGCAGCTCACGCATCACCCATAAGGGGACTTCTGGGAACATTTGGGAAGATCACCTTCCAGCCCAACGCCAGTCCCCAAAGGTCTGCTGGGAAGCCATGGAGCTCTCCCCTCCAACCCTTTTGCATTTCTGAAAAAAAGGGCAGGAGTGAGGACCAGCCTTCACTTGGGCTTTTGTCTCCATGGGGCAGCCACTGTTGAGAATGCCCATGACTCCCTTCAGCTGCCATAAGGGCACCCACCCACCCCTGCTAGCCTTGGCCTCAGGAAGCCAAAGCAGCTTCAGACTCCCCTGGGTCTCCCACTCCGGCCCCAAAGAGCAACTGGACAGAAGTGCAGCTGAAGCTCTTGTAGCTCAGAGGTCTTCAGGGTCTGCTCTGAGCAACCTTCCTTCCGACTCTTTCCACCTGAAAGCCCAGAAGAGCCTGCAGAACTAGCCATGAGAGCCCCAGTGCTGGAGGGCCTTCCTCTTGACAAGGAGAACAAGGGCTCCTTCAGGACTCCCCTCCCCCTTGCAGCAAGGTCAGAGCAAGCAAGTTGGCAGGTGGAGGTTCCTGGTCGGGATTGGCAGAACCATTCACGTGTTTGGGCACAGGGGCCTTATCAGGACCAGCCCTGCCCTACCTAGCGTTTCTGGGTCCGTGTTGGTATGCTGAGTTCCACTGTTCACACCGCCATGGGTTACCTGCTGCTCTTGTGGCTAGCCGCTACTTCTCTTCAGCCTGTGTGGACACAGGAGGACAACAGCTGGGTGGAGGAGGAAAATATCTTGGTGCTGAATCAGCACAATTTTGCCAGGGCTTTGCAGACATATAAGCTGCTCTTGGTGGAATTCTGTGAGTACCGGTGGAGAGGAGGAGGGGGGAGAGGAGCAGGACAGGCGCCTGGAAATCTTCACAGGGCTCCCTTGGGGCCTCTGTAAGGCAGATGCCACCTTATTGCAGGGTTAGGGTTAGGGGAGGGGCAACCTTCCAATTTGAGTGAAGAGAACTGAATCTGCGCAAGTCTCATGTGCAAGGCAGTGCCATCATGGTGCCATTTATGGCCTCAGAAGGCAACTCTTGTTCTTCCTGCTCCCTGCTGCTCTGGGGGCAGCCAGTACATAAGCCTGTGCCTGTTTGGACAAACTATCCCACAAATCACAGATTGGATCTTTACACAAAACAGCATTTGTTCCCAAAAGAGCCAATGGCCTCAAATACCCCAAGCCAGTCCCGATAACAGCATAGATTGGGGAGCACACAGAGTGGTGCACACTTCACACAAGGTGCGCACCATGCCTCCCACTACCTGCAGATCCAGTGCTCGTTCTACAAGCCTGACAGTCCATTTTTGGCCAGCTCCAAGCAGCTGCTCTTTGTTCAACTTCAGTGGTAGAAGTTGGCTCTCACTGGTCATAAAATCCAAAAAGTCCCTCAGCCGACCTGGGTTGGTATGCTGAGCTGGTATGCCATGGAAGCTGTCAGACCCGCAGAGAAGCCAACCTCGCCTTCGTTATAACCTTAAGCGCTGCTCCTCCCTTTTCCGGCAGTGCTCAAGACTGGAGATTTTAGTGGTTGGGTTGGTTTGACCTTTGAGCTATGCCCCCTTTCTGATGATGCCCTGCAGGAAGAAGCACTTTCCCTTCCCATCAGTCTCAGAAGGTGCCCCCCCCCCGATTCTTGTATAGAGAGAGGAAAAGGCTGTCACTCTCTTGTGTATCTTGGTTTTCAGCTGCTGCCCTTCTTGATTGCCTCTCTTCTCTCTCCCTCAGATGTCCCCTGGTCAGGGCATTGCCAGGCCCTGGCCCCAGAATATGCCAGAGCAGCCATGTTGCTAAAAAAGGAAACCCTAGTGAGACTGGCCAAGGTGGATTGCACCCAGGAACAGGCACTGAGGGCAGAGTTTGGGATCACTGGCTACCCTGTCCTCAAACTCTTCCGAGATGGGAACCGCACCCACCCCATGGATTTCCCAGGTTAGCCAGGAAGTGGATGAAACCCAACCAGCCCGACTAGAGGAACTCACTGCAGGAGACTAGCTGACAGCATCTTCTTTGGAAACGGATGGAAACCCGCCACTCCCAGACCTTTGCAGTGGGGACCTGCTAATGCCTACTGTCTCACTGCCCCTCTCCCTCTTATGACCAGCCCAGCCTTTTGTTTCCCTTTTATTGTTATCGAGTAAGCATGTTTTTTTTTTCAACAGAGGAGCAGAATATCTGTTCCGTGGACGTTATGGTAGTCTTTCAGCCACTGCTCAAATTTTCCCATATTCCCTGATAAGCACTGTGGTCCTTTTTTTCCAAAGAATTGCTGGTGAGGAAGGGGGTTGACAGATATCCTCTCAGCCCCTTCCCTGGTTTCCATGCTAGGTGAGCAAGAGGCTGCAAGCATAGTGGAGTGGCTAAAATGGAAAGCCAGGCCTAGTCCGGTGCTGCTCGAAGAAGTTGATGAAGTGGCTGCTTTTGTGAATCTCCACAATGTTGCAGTAGTTGGATTCTTCCAGGTGAGTGACATCCTAGGCTTCTCCCTTTGGAAGCTGCCATAGGCAAGACATACTTTCTCTTCCAAATTTCACCCTTATTCACTCCCTGCACTGGAGGGGGTGCCTCAGAAATAACCAGAGCCTTTGAATCTTTTCCATGGAGGATGTGGCCAGAGATTTCACTGTTGTTGTCCCGTGACAGATTTTGTCCAGAAAGCAGAAGTGTGCTGTCTCCTCTGGCCTTACACTGCAGCCATCCCTCCCTCTGTGCTGGTTGTGTCCAGAGCTGCCTCAGCCTGTCCTGTTCTCTCTAGGATTTGCACGATCCAGACGTGGGTCTCTTTGGTGATGTGGCCAGTGACACTCCTGAGGTAGCCTTTGCCATCACGGACAACCTGCTGCTCTTCCAACACTACAATATTACTGAAGACACCATCTCTCTCTTCCGGAAGGTAAGATGGTGATGTGCAGGTATCTTCAAGATGCTTTGAGGGGATGGTGCAGCTGCATTTCTGCAGACACTCTTTCCTGACTGATGTATTTGCAGGATGATGGTCAGCGGGTAGATTTCTTGGCTGACACAGAGCTAGGCCTGGATGAAAAAGACCTGGCTCAATTCATCTCTGTGCAGAGCCTGGACCTAGTGATGGAGTTCACAAATAAGGTCAGGTAGCTGTGGTCCCATCAGGGAGCCCACAGCCTCCTTGCTGGCAGATGTGGCCCCTCCCCCCCGCATGTGGTGGGCTCCATCAAAGGGACTGCAGTGGGCACTTCATCCATTGGGGCAATGTGGAGGTACCTCCTTCAGACCTGCTGTTCTGCTGCCCTGTGCAGGAGCCCCCTGCCGGTGTCCTGTTAGGTCAGGAGAATTCAAAGGTCGAAGAGGAGGGATGCTCCAGACCTTTAGGATGGCCTGCTTACCCCAGCTGCACTATGTGGGCTTTTTGTGCTCAATGGCTTGAGGTCTCTCTGCCCAGGAGAGGTAACTGTCAATGGTTTTCCCTTAGAACTCCTCCAAGATATTTGGGGCAAAGATCCCAAACCATTTGCTGCTCTTTATCAACAAGTCAGTGGATTGCCAGCTGGGGCTCCTGGATCCCTTTCGAGAGGGGGCCACTGCATTTCGGGGTCAGGTGAGTCCAGGGAGGAGATGGAGGAGCAAGTGGGACTGCTCCTGCGGAGACCATTTCCTCTCCCTTCCTGTTTCTTGCTAAGCCAGCCAGGGGGAGGGAAACCCAGCTGGCTATGATGAAATGGCCACCAGGGCAAATTCGTACCCATCATCCTTGGCTGGGGGCTTCTGTCTGAGACCACAGGTGCTTTTTGTGCTGGTGGATGTCAGTGGGGAAGGGGCCAGCGTACTGCAGTACTTCGGCCTTAAGGGCCACGATGCTCCCGCCCTCCGTTTCATCAATATTGAGGCCAACAAAAAATACCGGCTAGCCACACAAGGACTCACGGCTCATGGCATCCACACCTTTTGCCAAGAGGTTCTGCAAGGGAAAATTCAGGTGGGCAGCTGACATCTGGCGAAGTGTGTGTCACCCTGGTGCATGTGGACCCTTGGGGAGGAAGGCAGTCCCCCTAGCCAGGTCTTCCTTATCCGTCTCCAAGATGTCAACAGGAAAGGCCCTTCTGGGCATACTTCCACCAACACCCCCCCCCCCCGGAGGTCTTATAACAAACTGGAAGGTGCCCCTTTGCCAATGAGGTGCTACCTTTGTCAGCAGCCCCGTCTCTGGTTTGCCTTCT